AATATTTCAGTTAACCTCTGCAAACGCGAGTTTTCGTAAACGAAACGCGGCCTAACGAGAACCTCGGTAATCTGTCATTTCTTGATCCGAGCGAACTTCCACGATCCCGACTTGATCGAGTCATCCGTCAAACACATAATTTGTAAGGGACTGGTCTTGGGTAAGAACCAGTTCCACGGAAACAAAACTTGCTCGATTCGTAGTCGAGCGGATCACGGAAGTCATCTTAAAATTTTACAATCGCCCTTGGTCTACCCCTCGAGAGGGTCGAACGAGGGTGAACAAATTTAAGAGAATGCTCGACATTCATCGTGAGAATTTATTGAGAATATTCGACGTTCATCGTCCAATTCTCGGGAGATCGAGTTATCAAGTCACGTAGATCACCGCAAACGTAATTCTTAAAGGGAGATTTCACTCGGTGGGAGTTTTGTTTTAATCTTATTAAAAAAACGCAACCACTGGCATATTAATCTTATGGATATTTATTCTCCCACGTTGCTATAAACATAACATAAGAAAGCTTAGCTTGGGGTGATATTTGATGACATACTGAGAAAAAATTGTATTAAAATTAAACAAATATTTGTTTGAATACGACTGTGAATACATTTTATTTACATTAAGCAATTATTTTCTAAAATTCAAGAAAAAAGTTTACATTCACAGAACCTCTGTATTTCGTTTTAGAAATTAGTTGCTTAATTTGAATAAATGTATTCACAGTCGTATTCGAACAAGTATTTATTTAATTTTAATACAATTTTTTCTCAATGTAGCTATCGAGGGTAGGAAGCATCCATCGTCGATTGACATCGACGTCGTTTCACTCGCGATCGCTTTGCGCATCGAGCCGCCAAATGAAGCGTCGGCTTCGCCGCGACGTTTCCCTCTTCGGTACTCCGAAGAATCCCGGCAAACGCCGAAAATTAAATGCTGCGGCCGAACGAGTCGCAGAGGGCGGCGTCCGTTCTCGGAAGGCAGCAATAATGATTTTCGGTTAATTGCTCTCCCTCTCCCTTGTCGATCTAATAGAGAACATATCTATCGGCACGCGGACTTCAATGAATTATTGATGAAACGACGTAATCGCCGAGGAAAAGGCAAAGCGCACCGGCGCGGCGCGACGGACTAGACGGACGTTCCTGCGGAAAGAACGCGAGAGAGAGGGAAAGAGAGAGAGAGAGAGAGGGTGGAATAAATGGCGTTCCCTCCAGGATTCACGTCCTGGACCCGGGCCGACCCGGCTCTCCGAGGCTCCGTCCAGTCCGCGAAGGCTCACGTCTCTATCTGAGAGAATGCATATTCATCGCCCGGTCGCAGCTATAGCGAGCAGACATACAGCGGCGGCGGGGGTGGCGGCGAGGGGGCGAGGGAGGAGGTCTTCGCGGAGGGCCGGCTGGATCCCGTCATATACTCCGCGCTCTCATAAATTATCGCTAGTTGCCGGCTAACATGTTATTTGCCACCGAGCTCCCCAAATGAGTTCACTTTGTATTTAATTACTCGAATCACGCCCAGGGCGTATCCCGATGGTGAACCGTGCCTCCCCTCGCCCCCTCCCGCGCCCCGACCGTCTCCCGCGCGCGCGCGGTTTCTCTACCTTCGTTACTTGTCTCTCTTTTTCTCTCCGACCGATTGCTCGCGACGAGGGTCCGCGTGTAATCCTCGTCCCACGCTCTCTCTCTCTCTCTCTCTCTCTCTCTCTCTCTCTCTCTCTCTCTCTCTCTCTCTCTCTCTCTGTGTCTCTGAAATTTATCGTCGTCGCTCGCACGGCCAAGCGACCGTCGCGTCTCCCTCGGACTCCTCCGCTTCTACCTGACGGCCGCTTTGCGCTCTTCACGGCCGCAGAGCCGCGAGTGCGCTCTCTTTGCACCTTGGTATTTTTTTTCCTTTTTTAATTACCGTGTCGTTTTCGAGCGGACGAGGCGCTGGCGAAGCGAAAGTGTCTCGCGGCGCGGGACTCGTGCGCGCGCGCGGTCGGGCGCTTTCGTCGGTCTGCGCCCGCTGGAACAACGAGCCGCACGCGATCTCGACTTCGGTTTTCCAGCCGTTCGCCTCGCTCGCGCGCGTCGTCTCGTCCGCTCCGGTCGCGCCGCGCCGCGCCGGAGAGTTGCTGGCAAGCCGAGGAGCCCAGACCGGCGGAATGAGTGGGTTGAGCGCGCACAACTCCGACGTTACGACCAGGTAGATAGAAAGGTATAAGCATGCATGTATGTGTGTGTGCGCGTGTGTGCGTGCGCGCGTGTGTGTATAGGTGGATAGGGCAAGGGCAGGCAGGTAGGCCAGCCAGACTTGCGCTTGGCCGTCCTAATTATTGGTTCCGCCGCAATTCCATCGTGGAACGAGATGATAATAGATGAAAGCGATCAATCTTTAAATTGCGCCTGATGAACGGAGAAAAAAGTGAGAATATCGCGCGGGCTATCGGAAAAAATGGGGATGCGAGAAAAATCTCTCTCACGACACCTGGTATCGATGCGGCCCGCATCGTGAGGCGCAAAGCGTCTCTCCCTCTTTTTTTTTTCCCCATCTTCTTTTCTCCTCTCCTTTTTCTCCCGCTCGCGGCCGAATTCGTCCGTGAACGGCGCGCGATCGCGTCTCGCAGGTGTCGACGATGTCGCGCGTCTACTCCGCGACGGCGACAATCGGTGTCGCTGGCCAAATATTTGCCGATGAGCGGCTTTGTTTTCCTCTCTCTCTCTCTCTCTCTCTCTCTTCTCCCCTCGCCTCGGCCCTGTTTCTAGTTCCTCCTTCCTCTGGCGCGCCCTAATCTTTTCGCGACGGCTTTCGGGACACGCGCGCGAGCGGCGCGGGCAGGTAGCGCGCGTTTCGCACGGGCGTCCTCCTCGCCGAGGAGAGAGATACGGAAGATTTTGAAGTGGAAGATTATCGTTCCGCTACTTAGGCCGAATTTTCGGGCGGCTGTGAGGCGATCCTGAAATCCAACACGGCCGCGCTCCGAACGGGGAATGACAGAGATCGGATTGCCACGGACCACCGTCGCGGTCGCCGCAAACTTTATCCTACCTGTTTTCGCTAATTGAGCGAGTAAAGATGTAACTGGACCTTACGCCCTTAAAGTATTTGCACCCTTTCTGCGGATACTATCCTGGCTGCTATCTCGGTCGCAGCCGGGACCGATCGGAGACGTGAGTCGGTCCCTCCGCGCGTCCTGTGTCGCGCGGGATATGCATCAGGATGCATTCCGAGAGGTCTTGGGAAACTTTCGACGTAAACAACAGGGCGAACCGTCCTCTTGGAAGGATACACGTGAGGGGCGGGGAGGCAGAGAGGTGTGTTTCCGAAGGGAGATGTAAATAACGCCTACGCGATACATTAATGATGACACGCGTAATGATGACAATATCGACGCGGTAATTTAATTAAACTAAACCGATATCCGGATAAAAATATAATTAAATACAATCGACAAGGATTTGACAAGGATTTTTGCTGGCAGTGCAGTTCAAGGAAGAGTGTGAGGGCTGATTAGACTCTTTCTTAAGGAGGACTTACATGCGGGAGGCCGTTTTCAAGGCTATTTTTACAAATTTTTGTAACAGAGACAGTAAGGTCAATGAACTTGAAATTTTCACAGTGTATTCATTAATGTTCAAAGTATAAAATAAATTTTATTGAATTTTATTAAATCACAAGAACCGATCCAATTTGTAATTATAGAGATAAAAGTGCAGTCATCCGTTTGCGAGCTTTATGTTTGCCGTCGACATACGTAATTCCGAGTCTCTTACTACTCTGAAACCAAAAAAATGAGAAAGATTTTTTAAGTATACGTCATTATATCCCGTACCAAAATGAAGGCAGTGAAACCAAGTTTGGAAAAATAATGACTGTACAAAAAAATAGTATCGAAAAGGAAACGTTTTTCAATTTGTAATTATGTTTAAAAAAATGAATAAAATAAAATACCACTATGTTCGAGGTAGGGGCGGAAACTATATGTTTACCGTGTATACTGTGTAAAAATTTCGTTAGTTATTAAAATAAAAGTTATTAGGTTCAATAGTTTTGGCGTAATCGTGACGACGGTTTAAGAAAATGGTGTTTCCAGATAAACGCGTTTAAAGTTTTACGCGTTCCATATAGATAGTAACTTTCCATATAGATAATAACAAATTTATTTTATGCTTCGAACATTAATGAATACACTGTGAAGATTTCAAGTCCATTGATCCTATCGTTTCTGATAAAAAAATATTCATAAAAATAGCCTTGAAAACGAGCCGCTCCGCGTGTAATTCCCGCCTTGATGTCTCAAAGACATCTCGACACGAATAAACTCGCTGAGGAGGCAAACATCCACTTTGAATCGATCAGAATCCAACGTTCCATCTCATCTTTGTTGCTCGATCCTCCTACAGCGCCAGCCCAGGTTCCTGGAGACCAGATATCAGGCCTCTCCTCGGCAAATGACTTCCCCATCAAGTTGCCATGAAATTCAATGTGCACATGCGGCGAGCATCAGTAACGGAAGCATGGAGCTGTCACGAGCGCTGCTTCCACGATTAGGCAGGAATTTCGACGAGCCGGGCGTACGTTAAGACGATTTTCGGCTGTCGCGCCGGCTTGGCAGCACATCGGGCATCGCGCGAGAGCGAGTGCATAGCTCGACAGCAGGTAGCGAGCATTATTACGAGGAGGGAGCCTCGTCGTCGTCGTCGTCGTCGTCGTCGTCGTCGTCGTCGTCGTCGTCGTCGTCGTACGTAGCGCCTAAAGGGCCGCGTAATGGCTACGCTCGGTTCCACATGCGAGATCGTGTATGACGGAGGCGCCGGGCCACCTGTTGCGGCCGCTGCTCGCGTACCTGGCTTCGACTCGACCCGGCCGGCTCCGGGGCCCGGGCTGCCCCGCTCGGAGTGGGGAGTCGCGCTCGACGGCGATTGGTACCGCGGCACGTGCTACGCGAGGGTGCCTCGCTCCGCGAACGCATAAATCTCCCGGCGGCGTAGCACCCGGCTTCAGAATCACCCCGAGACCCGGCCCGGCTCGATCGCACGGGAGAGTCGTCCTCGTGTTTTCGCATCGTATCCGCAGCGCATCGCGCGTACACGCGTATACACACACACACACACGCACGCACGTACAGTAACCCGGACAGCGCGTTCTTCGTCGTCCGAGCGGGCGAGCGGAGGCAGGAGTTGCGAGAGCTCCGACGAGTCGAGGCAGGCGCTCCGGAGGCAGGAGGCAGTCGGTAGTAGTTGAAGTGCGGGTTCAGTGAGAGAGGAGAGCACCCCGGGGCCCGGCCGGCGAGACACCGTCGTCGCCGTCGTCTTCGTCGCGCGCGTCGTGCACGTGGAAGCCGGCGCAGCCGGGCAGCCGAGGAGGCAGGCGAGACGGTCCGTCGCGGTTGAGCTGCCGCGGGGATGGAGCTGCAGGAGATGTTCCGCTACGGCTACATGTTCCCGCCACGGGAGGACGAGCTCGCGGGCTGCGTGTACCTGGACCTGCCGAACTACCCCAAAGACAAGGCCGCCGGCTTGCCGCCCGTCAGCACGCTCGCGGTGCCGCAGTGCCTCGTCTACGACAGCAACTGCAGCGACGGCTGGCACACGCCGAGCCCGTCCGCCAGCCTGCGCTCCGTCAGCCCGGCGACGACGTTGTCGATCTCGTCGGAACCGGAGACGCTGAACGCGCCGCCGGCGACGTACCGGCTGCTGGGCTCGGTGAAGGACAAGAGGGCCGCGGGCAAGAGGAGCGTCTCCGTGGCCGCCGGCGGCCAGCGGCTGCGCGTCGACGCGTCGATGGACCTGGCCGAGGAGATGATCCACCTGGAGCCGGAGCGCGACCTCGCCGACCTCGGCGCCGACGGCGACGGCGACGTCGACAAGACGCAGTCCTGCCGCGGCAGCGTCATCAGCAGCGGCCTGTCCGACCGCACGCTGGACGGCGACAGCGAGGAGGACGCCGAGGTGAGCGACGGAGCGGACCAGCCGGAGGCGGCCAACGGCCCGCACGCCGGCCCCGACGAGCGCGACAGCCGCCGCAGGGGCAAGTACGTCAACTCCACCATCGTGAGGAAGCGGCGGCTGGCCGCCAACGCCCGCGAGAGGAGACGCATGCAGAACCTCAACAAGGCGTTCGACCGGCTGCGCACTTATCTGCCGTCCCTCGGCAACGACAGGCAGTTGTCGAAATATGAGACCCTGCAGATGGCCCAGTCCTACATCACCGCGCTCTACGATCTGCTGCAGTGAGGACTGCCCGAGGTCTGCCCGGTAAGCCCGCGAGCGACAAGACCGTCCTCCGTTGCCCCCGGGAAACCCTCCCTCTCCCCCCCGCGTCTCCGCGACGCTTTCCTCCGGGAAGTCGCAGCGACGAAATCCGGAGGTCGCGATACGGTATCCAAGGGACATCTCCCCTCCCCTTACCCCTCCTCTTCGAGGTACACGACTGCTCCAGGGAGAAACCATCACTCCCGAAGACGCTCGCGTCCCGACAGATTGATGTTTGGATTACGGATTATTGCGACCTTTCGAGCCCGTGCGTCTCGGGGCTGCCGGAACAGCGACGCCCGTTGATACTTAATGCAGAGAGTGTCGTAGCGCCGGAAGATGTGCCTTTCGCAACGAATAAGTACAAGCCGTACCTGTAGTAACTCGATCGACTCCGCAGCGAGCGTTCGGACATCTCTCGCTCGCGCCTCGTCGACGAGCAGCAGCAGGCGCGAGGCGGCTGTTAATCCGCCGTCGACCGTCTTCTCTTCCTCATGTGACCTTTTCCAATGTCATTGCTAGAGTATCACCGGCGCGGTATCACTCTTTGCGCGTTTCTCGCGTCGTGCAGATCGCGCTGGAATTACAGCGCGACGAACACTTTTGGAACGGCTCAGACAAGGCTGCGCCGAGGTCTAGCCCCGAGTTAAAAGGATCGGACAAAGGGCCTTTGAGAGGCTGTGAGAGGATTCACCCGCGAGGATATCGCGATAACAATATTCTCGGCGGCTTTTCGACTCTGGCATTCCGCAGTTGTAAATAGCGCGAGAGGCGACGAAGATGCGATCTCGTCTAGTTTAGACTTTAAGTGCGACACGTGCGTCCATGTAAATAGATCCTGTAAATAAGCGCCGTAATCTTACGTTCGTTACGTCTCGTGTTAAGGCTCTGTAAATGTTGTAACATAGCCCGCTAAGCTGGCTAGCCTACAAGCACTGTGTATCATATCGCCCGACTGTGTGTATACTATAATTTATTTTTAATACAAGACAATCATATCAGAGAGCAGCGTATTCTGCGAGACTGATGAGAAGCGCGATGTATCTGGCGAAATAAAGTTATTTTACCGTAACCACATGCATCTTCGAGTTGTCGCGATTCTTTCCGCAACATGGGAAACTCGCTCGCGGGGAGACTCACCCTCTCTCTTTCTCTCGCTGAAGATCCTCTCGGGTGCGAATTTTGCGAATTCAGCAGCGCTTTCACTCGCCGCTTTCGTATCTCGCCGTCGCCGATCTCCGTGCTTTCCGTGCTTCCACGCAGCTCCCTGAAGAAGCCCGAATTCGCGGCCGAAGGCTGCAGGAATACCCGTCGAAGAAGAGAGAGAGAGAGAGAGAGAGAGAGAGAGAGAGAGAGAGAGAGAGGAGCAGCAGCACCATCGGTGGTCCGCTCGTTATACGAAACCCGCGCGACGCGTCGGTGCCCGGTTTCATCGCAATTTGAGAACTTGCAGACTTCTTCCTCTCCGACGATGACTCTCCCTCTCTTCCTCTTCCTCCCCGTTCATCTTGCGCTCTATATATTTTCGGCGTATCTCTTTCACGCGCGGCGGACGAAATTTTTGTTCTCGTTCTCGTTGCTTCGTTATTCACCTGTAATTCTCAATAGCCGTTCCAACCAGCAGCGATGCTGCATACGGTTGACAAGATGTGCATTGCGAGACGTTGATAATTAAACTCGAATATTTCAGCGTCGTTGTCGCCATTGCCGGCCGAAGAGAGAGAGAGAGAGAGAGAGAGAGAGAGAGGAGTAGGTAAATTTTAAAACTCGATTCTCAAACTATTAATTGCGAAATTGCTGAGTTAAGATTTCGGTGAATTCGAATTTAAATAAATTTCCAGATTAGTCGGAATTTAGTTGAGACTCGAATAAATTTACACTCAAGTTTATATAAATCTGAACTCGATGAATTAAGCAAGACTCTCCGACATGCGACCCAAACACAAGGAGAAGTCAGAGCGCGAGCGGCTGCGCGAGTTGCCCGTCGCGCGAGATGCGACTGCAGAAGATAAAAGATGACTCACAATGTCAAATTCAAGAGCCGAGGATCCCGAAGAGACTCATTCCGAGGGAGAGCAAGAGGGCACTCGATAAATCGCGTTAGCGCACAAAAGGCGACATCCGCCAGCGTGTAACCTGTCCTAATTAAGCCAACTCTAGAAAACTCCCCGCGCGATAATTCCCCGCGCGTATAAAACAGCTTGGGGGATTAGATTTATGCTAATGATGATTAATGTTTATCGGCGATGAGTTACCTGGCATTCAGGCCAGGCGCTTTCTCTGTATCACCTGTCCTCTGCGTACACACAAGCTGCATATTATTTGCAGAATCACGGAACTCGAAACTCCGCAGGCCACTCCGCATCGGGGACAGGCAGCGCGCGAGGCTACGCGCGGCTTTTGCGAAATTGTTCGCTCCTGCCGAGCGCAACGAGCGGAAGACGCGGCTGTGCCGAGCCGCCGCGGAGCGCCATAAAAGCGTCCCGCGAGAAACGCGGAGAGCGACGCGGAAAATGTCAGTGCGCGGACACTCGCTCGCCGACTTTCCCCTTTATCTCATTCGCGCCCATCGTTCCCCGGCGAATCACAGCGCGGCGTAAATCCCGGCGTGGCCGGTCGCTGCGATTTTCCGGGACGTCCGCGATTGCTCGGAGCTGTCGCTCGGGATTGATTTAGGATTTGGGAAGAATATCTCCGTTTAAGGGTGCTTGTTTTTGATAATATTTTGTGACAAACTGAAAAGAATGAAAATTTTAGGTATATTTATAAACCATTTGAAGAGTAGAAAAATTTTGTTCATTAACAAATACTCGTATAAATATACGATATATATATATATATATATATATATATATATATAGTTGAAATATACTCTCCTTTTTTTTTCAAGTTGTCGTTTTTGCAGTAATATCTCGGCTCTCGATGGTTCGATCAGAGCAAATTTTAGCTAGAAATCTTGAGAAGGCTTATTATTATCCGATGAACCACTACAAAAGAAAAATCGAACAAAATCGAACAAAATGGCAGCTATTATTAGGAAAAAATTCAAATTTTCACTTCTTTTACAGTAAAAAAATTAATATCTCCAAATGAAATATTTTGACAGAGTTGTCCATGATTCACCTGAGGGCCATATGAACAAATATTATTGCTTTAAAATTTCAAATCGATACGAAGCTCAGTTTCGGAGAAATCACTGCAGAAAGATTGAATAATAAAATTTCCAGAAAAACTAAAGTTTAAGTGGACGTATATTTATTATGAGTATTATGAATATTATTATGAGTATTTGTTAATAAACAAAATTTTTCTATCCTTCATATGTTGTATAAATATATCTAAAATTTTCATTCTAGCATATTTATTCAGTTCATCACAAAATATTATCGAGAACAAACACGATTTTTCAGTAATCTGACCCTCCAGTCCCCTTAAGCCCGTGTCACACTACGGATTGAAAATCAAGGATTGCGGATTGAAGATTGAAATTTGACCAATCGGAATAAAGCAAATCAAAACCGAAGTTCATTGATTTGTCGAAATCTAATCTTCAATCCGCAATCCTTGATCTTCAATCCATAGTGTGACACGGGCTTTAAGTCGCTACCCCTTATCCCGACTGCGCCGAGAGAGCAAAGAGATGTTAATGTTTTGTTAAGCACGCAGAAAAAAGTATTCTATTTGTAAAGTGATTTTTCCCACAGTCTCATATTCTAAGCGGAGCCTTTTACAGAGAAAGGATTCCTCTTTCGATCAAGCGATTAAAGTGAACCATTCATCTCAAATCTATTGGATATTATTCTAATTGTTTTCCTCTTATTTCAAGAGAATCTCCTCTTGTATCAATTTTATATTTTTAATCATCATATTTTTATATTTTTAATAGCAATTTGTAATAATTTTTCTCTTATGTGAAGGGGAATGTGTTAATTTGAATGTCGGCTTCTTTTGTTCAGACATGTTCTTCCTCCAAACAACGAAAAAACAACCGTATGTTCATGGATCAGAATATTTGGAACGCTTTTTAAAAAAGGTATGTGTATTGCTCTAACATATAACGAAAATAATTTATCCATATTTGGTCAAATACAGTTTCTAATCAGTTTATTGAATAATATATTCTTTCTTTTAACTATGTTTCATACAGTTGGTTATGAACATATTCGTAGCTATAAAGTCCATAACAAAACTGATTGGAAATTTGTTTGTTATGATGATCTTATTTCATTCGTGCCTATTTATTGTAGAACTGAAGTACATCTATATATATATATATATAATATATTATTTTTCGTTATACATTATAATAATTTTTTTCAAATTAACTAATATAACCAGTAAGAATAAAATACAGCAAATATAAATAATAATTCTCTTAAAAAAAGATTAAATAATCTCTGTGTAAGAGGAAATTTATATTAAAATAATTAAGATTTGCATCATACATATATAACATATAATTCCTCTAACTTTAAGAATAATGTGTTTATAATATTTTCCTCTTAATTTTTAGAGGAATCCTTTTGAGGCCATGTATAAAAGTAAAATCCTCTAGATTTTATGATTCCGCTTGTTCTGAAATTACTTTTTCTGTGTGAACTTGTAATTATTTATGGCTGCAGCTATTCTCTTATTGTTCTAAAAAAAGAGCGAGTATTCTCCAGGACGTCTGTAATTGCTTGGAGAATCGCTCGCGATTTATTTTGGGGGAGAACAACCGTCTCTCTCTCTCTCTCTCCCCCCTCTCTCTCTACAGAGGAGACAATTGTTAATATTGTTATTTTGAGTTTGAGCTGTTGCGTCTTCTTATTGTTTTAAGAAATAATAATTACAGCATGATTACTATCGCTGACATTTTTAGCAGTTACTGCAAAGGTGCTTCTTTCGCTACGCGGTCACCGTTGCAAAATACCGAACACTTGTTTCCCACAGCGCATCCTGCTCTCGTTATCTACGAGGACACGTCGCGATTGCAGCGCGCTGTCGGAGCAGCAGCAGCAACAGCAGCCGCCGTCGGAGAGAAACAGCAAGTACAAAATTCCTCCAGACGGCAGTGCGAGAGGAGAGAACTCGCGGTGGCTGGGTAAATATCGCGGAAGAGTCATAAACCGCCGCGTGTGTTTCCGAGCACAACAATAGCCCACAGAAGTTCCCTTGGCCCTTTCGCATTTAGCGCTATTTGGGGATAGAGCAAACTTCGGCTCCGCCAGGACATCCGGCGAGCATCCTTCTCGGCCGGAGAAACGACGAGAAAAGTAGATCCCAAGTGCTAACTTGTACAGCAACGTCTCGATCTCACCTCGGCTTCAAGCTCGCGCTTCGAGCCGCCGCTCGCTTTATCATCGCCGGTGTAGAGAAAAAAAATGATACTTCTCAACCTTCCTCGTTTTCTGCGAATAAATAAGCGCGTTCGATTCGACCCAGCGCGATACGACAAGCAGACAATCTCGCTTTCCCTTCAACTTCACAAGCACGAAAATCAATCGAAGCGATGCTCAACATGTAACGAGAAGGATAAAAAAGGTTGCCAAGTCAACGTCTCGAGCTAGTGTTAAGATCCCTCGTCGCAGCCATCTTGAACGTTGGCTGAGAGATCTATGCTGAAAATTCCTACTGATTAAATCAGAATAAAAAACACATTCGTGGAACGACACTTGCAATCGATCGAGCACATTTCTCAAATGCTCCGAAAACGTTCCTTTCGCTCCGACGGACGATAGATAATCAACGCGCACGCCATCGCAGGAGAAAAGCGAGCGTTTCATGTTTTTAGGGCGCATTCATATACCTCGGTAGAAAAGCAGAAGACAGTAGAAGCCAAGAGAATGATAGCTCATACAGCACAAAAGTTGCAGCAACATTGTTGCAACGTTACAACAATGTTGTAAGCAACGTTCCAATGTTGCAGCAATATTGCTGCGACTTTTGTGCTGTATGGGAGACAGAATAACTCTCGCAAGGGAGAGACAGACTGTCAGCGTCTACCACTCTCTCTCCCTCTCTCTCTCTCTCTCTCTCTCTCTCTGTGTTCTGTTTTTCTGCCAAGGTGTGAATTCGCCCTTGCAGTCATTCATTGCTTGCTGCCGGAGCGAAAGGAAAGTTTCCGGAGATAATGCGCCCGATCGACCGCGCAAGTGTCATTTAATATGTCTTTGAGTTCAGGACTTTCCGGCAAGCAGGAC